CCAGGTACTGCCCTGCCCTGAGCACAGTGTGCTCAGCTTTGGAAAGGATGTGTGCCCCCCTCCAGAGCACAGATGTAAATCCAGCCCTGCAGATGCTCTCAAAATACCTCAGAGTCTGAAAACAGGAGGAGGACCTGGAGCTTAGATTCAGACAACGACCACCAGGGGTAGCAGGCTATAGACTTCTCTGTGCCCCCCAGCAGTGGTTCTCAAGCTTGAGCATCATCAGAATCACCCAGGATACTTAGTAACCCTCAGATTTTCAGGCCCCATCCCCATTTGGATACAGTGGGTCTGGGATCGGTCCAAGAATTTGCATTTCTTGCAATTTCTTTGCCAGCGCTAAAGGGTGCTGGTCTGTATTTTGAGAGCCGGTGTTCTACAGCATCTTTCTGTTGAACCTTCACCATCAGAAGATAGGGTGGGACCACCTTGTGTTGACCAGTACCTGTGACGGAGAGCACCAGGGCTTTCCCACAGAGAATAAGGTCCAGGTCAGGTTGTAGTTGGGGCCTCTCCAGTGGCTCAGCAGTAAAATACTCCACCTGCAGTGCAGGAGACCCAAGAATCTCCTGGAGATTCCCCTGTCAGAGGAAATGGCAACCCATTCCAGTATTCTTGCTGAGAAAATCCCATGGACAGAGCAGCTGGGTGGTCAGGAACCTACAGGTTGTAGTTGTTCGCTGTGACCACTAACCCCGTTCATGGCAGTAGCATAGAATTTTAACCATGTACCTGCTCCTGAGGTTTCATCTTAACTCAAATTAGAAGGTAATCCAGTTCAGAGGCTTCTAAAAGCCAGTTGAAGAATCTGTGCTAGGCTGATTGCATAACCAAACCCAAGGAACTTGTTAAGAATACAAACTCCTTGTCTCTGCCTCAGGATATTTTGATTTAGTAAGTCTGGGATAAGGCCTGAGGACCCATGTTTTTAACAATCTCCCCTGATAATTTAGTCTGCTTCAAAGGTATCTATCTACAGGCTTGAGTATTTCTTTCCATGGTCACATGCAGTACATTCAGAGGCATGCAGCTATTTTGAGTATCTTTGCCCCAAACTTAGATTATGCCTTTAGTCAAGGGATTAGCAACCTTTTAAAGGAAGCACGCCCAGTAGTCTTTAGTTTTTTCCCATCAGAGGTGGCAAAGCTGGTGGAATGGCCTTGGGTCAGCCCTTCAAAAAGGCTCTGATGGGGATTGAGTTCTTCAAAGAAGCGCTGTTCCTGGCGTGTTTAGAAGTGACTGCGTGCATTTGGGCAGGCTTCCCAGGTGGCTCAGTGGTGAAAAATCTGCCTGCCAGTGCAGAAGACACAGATTCAATCCCTAGGCTGGGAAGATCCCCTGGAGATAGAACTCACTCCAGTATTCTTGCCTGGAGAATCCCATAGACAGAGGAGCATGGTGGGCTACAGTCCATAGGGTCACAAAGAGTCAGACAAAACCGAGCGACTGAGCATGCGTGCAAACACGTGCACTCAGGCAGTCCACTCAGCCCCTTCAGTACCATGAAGACTGCAGTCGTCCGGTTTGGGATTATCAAAGACAGAGGAGGACCCATGAATAAACTCATTGAGAAGTTCAGCCCTTCGCGCACACAGCGGACAATCACTGGGTGTCTGCCCTGGCTCAGACCTGGAGGTGTGCTCTCAGGATGAAATGGTAAACAAGACACAGTCCTGCCCCTGCCAATGACTCCACACTCTTGAGCCCTAACTTAAGATGCCGAGACATATGCTGTTACCCCCTGTACCTCCTTGACACGAGCATCTGTGCCCATGTACCCACCCTGTTCGGCACAGAAACTCATTTGGCATCTATGTCAAGGATTGCCAACTATCCCAATACACATACAGCCCTAAAACGAGGAGACAGTATGCATTTTAAGGGTTTATTTAGTATCATTTGCATGGTTTTGTTTTAGGGTGCAGATCACATGGTTGCCTCTTAAAAGAAAAATAGCTATTGTTAGTCCTCTGTGCTGGAGTTGGTTCACAATCCATTGGAAAAACAAATTTATTGTGTGTTTGGAAAAGGAAATTCCCATCTTTATAGAGGTATAAACAATAATGTTAATTTAAAAAATCTAATGTCTAGTATCTGGTTATTATAAAAATAGGCTCATTTTTCTCTACAATTATTTGTTACAGTGGATTCAAATTCAAATATTTAACAACATTTGTATAAAATAGACTGCTATATATTAAAATGCATGTAATGCTCCTGTCTTCTCCAGTTTAAGTCAGTCATCGAAGGATGCTCAATCCAGCTATATTTTTTTCTTGAGCTAAATGTAGTGAATCATATAGTTTGAAGGTGTTAGAAACCCTCTCTGCTTTTTAGCAAGAGAAAATACTCCATGGAAATGCTGTCTCTCATTTTTTAAGGTCATTGATTGGGTTAAAAAAGGCAAGTGCCTTTTTTTTGTTGAACTTACTTTAATTAAAGCCATTAACCTTTTAAAATAAGTATATCCAAAAAATCTATCAAAAAAAGCTAAAATGCGATTTTAACAAAATCCTGACAATTTCAGCTTAAACATATACACAGAAACCATATGTGCTTAGGAAGAAATATACACACACAGGCATTGTTTATAGTGTGTGTTTTTATATTTGGAAGACATTGAAGGAAGAGCCATTCCATACATACATTATCCGAAATGTACATCCAGATAGCCCGCATAGATTTTTCCACCCAGAGACAAAGATATCTTTATCCGTGGTAGGTCGACAGACAGACTGACTGACTTCAAACTTGCACTTGCAGTGTGGATTTTTTTTTTTTTCCCCCCTCATCTCCGGGTACTGCTTTTCAAAATCGCCTCAGGCTACAGAACAGTACCTCAGATCCCCAAGGCCCACTGCCTGGCTCCTAATAGCCACTCTCCATCTGTGTCACATGAACAGCTGATGAGATCGCGCCAGTGTCTGTATTTTGGAGAGCACATCCACCCAGGTTAAAATGCTGGGGTTGCCGAGGAGCAGTCAGAAGCCATTAGTGGGGGTGAGAATGTGCCTTGCAGCAGTTCCCTGGCATGGTGGAAAGTGTGTACGCGTGTCTCTGCTCGAGCTTGTGTGTGTGTGTGTGTGGAGTGTGTGTGTGTCCTTGTGCAAGTGACCCCCCGGTGTCCATGAGTGTGCAGGGAGGGTAGACAGATGAAGACTAGATAGATCCATCCATCCAGGATTCATAAGTCAAATGCCTTTTGTTTCCCTGTACTCCTGATTAGTTCTTTGACTATTTGGGGTCCTTTCGATTCACTCTTTTTTTTTTTTTTTTTTTTATCATAACAGACGGCAAAGAAAAAGAGAACAGCAACTTCGGGGTCATGCTCTAGTGTTTGGGCAGATGGAAGGGATCTGCTTTGCCTTGGGGCAGGGTGGTTGTAATGAAGTGGCCTGTCAGTCTGTAAATAGTGAGGGTCATCTCTTCCATGTGATGGAGGGTATCACATTGCAGTGAAAATGGAAATGTCAATAAAATTAATCTGCCAGCTCTTTGCTGTGGCTTTTCTGCTTCTCTGGTCAAAGAAGGTTGAGGGTTTTTGTGGCGAGAGGGGAATAGAACAGGTACGGGGAAGCCCACACAGCAGGCAGTCGGGACAGGTTGGGAGGCAAGGGGCCCAAGGCAGGGTGTCCCCAGTGTGGCCCAGTCCGGGAGGAGGGAGCTGGTCTGGGAAGGAGCTGGTGGATCTATGGCGTTCCCGGGGAGGCTGCGGAGCGTCCAGCTCAGGCTACATTGAGCACAGAGTTTATTGTTTTAGGCTTTCTTGGACAAGGTTTTTACTTAGCATGGGATTTATGGCATTTACTGCTAATGAATGTCTATTCTTAAATTACAAAAACCCCCATCTCAGCGCAATTCCCAGATGTTCTTCCAGGACCCTGGCTTCTTAAACACCAGCAGGGAGCATAAACTCTCCACTTCTCTGTTTTCCTCTTTCGTGTGGCTCCAGGCTAATGATGTGCAAGGAAAACACAGCCATCTATAAAGCCCCAGTGCTGTCCCCGTATTCTTCATTTATTTTGCATTTGATTATGCCACAAGTCGGATCTTGTTTCTTTCCTTTTTTTAAAGTTATTAGTTCAAATATTAATGTAGGGATATGGCATATATTGCTCCTCTTGATTGATGCCTTCCCAAAAACAGGAAGACGTGCTCGTATGAATTTTAAGAAAGTAGGGGTCCTGCAATGCCTTGCCAGAAGAGTTTTTCAGATACATAATTTAGATGCCCTCCAGGCAGGCTTTCAAGGCATTTTTGCCAGAGGGCAAGAAAAAATAACTATGACTGTTAAAAGTAAATGATTTTTGCTAATGCACAGTTAATGCCAGAGAAGAGCACAGAAGAGAAAGATGTTGATAGAAACTTCTGATTAAGTGAGCACCCTACCTTGATGTGCGTCTTTTTTGTTTTTTAATGATAATGGTCAGTGGTGCAGAGAGCTAAAAGTTTTCCTGTCACGCGGATGCTGAGTCCAGGGTCATCTGAGGAGTATGTGAATGTGTGTGCTTGGGAGGTGACAGTTCTAGGAGGCGCTGAGCAGGCAGTGTGTTATGTGCAATGAACAGTGACACAGTTACTGTCACCTATGCAGGCAGCCTAGAATATATAGACTACAGAACATTTAACTTGATTACCCTACAGTATGTGTTCACTCTGGGCATGGGGATGCATTTGCACCGAATGGGTTTTCTGATGGCGGTTTTCCCACATTGGATTCCATAATTGACGAAGAGCTACTGCACTGTGTCAAGAGCACAATTATAATTGAATTAATGATATGGGAGAGTGTGAGACACACAAAATTAACATTTGAAGAGGGCTGGTTTAATTTTGTCTTTTACATATTTGTGTCTCCAATTATACTTTAATGAAAGAGAATATACCCGCTTAATGGATTTCTTTCAACAAGCTTAGCTGAGCTCATCATTAGCTGCTCATTGTTGTTGGCACCCTTTCTGTGTTTTCTCTAATGTATTTTCGTTTCTTTCTACTAGGGGATGGTTTAGACAACAGTGTAGCTTCACCTGGCACAGGTGACGATGATGATCCAGACAAGGACAAAAAACGTCAGAAGAAAAGAGGCATTTTCCCCAAAGTAGCAACAAATATCATGAGAGCATGGCTCTTCCAGCATCTCACAGTAAGTCAAGATGAAAGCGAAAAATAAGTTTTGTTGTTTTGCCTTCTCCTAGCACATTAGATGGGCTCATACAGATTTTTTTGAAATAAGGTGCCTATTTTCCCTTTCTTGAAATCTGATGGCTAACAGGACAGTTGAGGTTTTTATCAATTCTCACCACCCAAAGAGCACCCTGTAGAAAGGAGGAGTTTTTATTTCCATAGGTCAGGAATGCACCTTATTCAAAATGATTTAGGGCTCTAAAAAGTCTATATGAGTAAATGTGTTGTTTATGCAAAAAGGTATGAGAGCAACTTCAGATAATGCAACTGCTACCAAGGGAAACGGCTGTGAGAAGCTCATGAATCCATAAATGTTGCTGATTACACTCTTAACGAAAGCCATCTTCTTAGGAGGCAAAAAAAAAAAGCACCTTGCCACATGTATGTCCAAGTGCCTGGTATCAGGGGCAGCTCTAATCGCTGAAGCAGCTTGCAATGTGTCACGTGTTTATATGACAACCACAGAAGGGTTATAGGTGCTATAATGCCTTTGTTTCTAAGGTAGAGATCAAAGGTTCTTTTTTAGCGGTTCAAGTTTATTATCTTATAAGCTGATCCTGTTCACTTATGGGGAAAGATCAACAATGTGCAGCATTTTCCAAGTAACAGTTTATCTTCCTGTTTGCAATTGGTTTTATGTGTCATTATATATATATATATATATATATATATATATACACACTATTGACTGAGACCCTCAAGGCCAAAAAATTACAATATATTTTTGCAGAGGAACTACATGCTCGCATTTTACTCTTCATTTGAAAATTCTGGGAAAATAGTAAAGATGTCAGAGGCTGTTTCTTGCTATAAGATTGTTTTCAGGCCATTCTGTTTAGGCTGCAGCTTAAAAATAGAGTAGCGCATTGAAAGCTGAAGGCCTTTGATTATCCAGCTTGTGGGTTGCCATGCTGAATGAATGACATCAGTTACAGTGTCATGAGTCCAGGACAAGGTTCCACGTTTATTTATGGCGCTGGCTGCTTGAGCGACTCTTTCAGCAGGGCTCCAAAGGGCGAGGGGTGGGGCGGCAGCAGGGAGGGCAACACGATAGATTCCCCTTCCTAAATCGGCCATTTTGATGTAAGGACATTAGTAGCAAACTAAGGTGTATTGATCTGGCCGGTGGTGTCAGGATTAGCTGGGTGTACCAACGAGGCTGCCGTGGCAGTGGTTATTCTTGCCTTGCAGCTATGGCCATTTCAAAGGTCAGGGCCCTGCGCTGACTGGGCTCAGAGGAATTAGACCGAACATGCCGTCTCTGGGCTGATTACTTAACCAAAGACAAAATAATGAGTCCTAAGCAAATACTGACTAATTGAAAGGGCTGTAAATCCATTACATATTGGTCAGGGATAATCAGGAGTATTTAATCACTTTTATCTATTCAAGAGCACTGAAGCTGCAACAGCAAAGCCCTGAACCTTGCCATGTGGTTATTATTCTCATCATTATCAAAATTACTTCACAGCTGTTCTTTGCTACATCACCTCAGCTGGAGATTTACTAACCTGTAAAATGTTTTTCATTTGGAAGTCGAATGAGTGCGAGGGGAGGGGTTTCTCATTTTTAACTGAAGGTTTGTTTGGTTAGAGTAGCAAGTAAGAAAGGCAGGGTGGGGCGAGTAGATGGCAGGCAACTGCCTTCTCCCACCAGCTCACCTGTCTGATTTCCTCCCGCTGGCTCCCTGCATGCTCAGCATTCCTTGGTTGAAAGTGAAGAGTTCAGCAATTACTTTTCAAGCAAACATCCCCATGTATTTTCAGCCCCTCAGTCAAAAAAACCCAACATCATAGAACAGCAGAATCTTAGAGAATGCAGCTGCTTTGTTTACAAACCAGGAAGCTCAGACCCGCAAAGGGAACTGATTGGCTCAAGGTCCAGCTGCGATCAGGACCCAAGCCTTCCTTGACCCCAGCTCCGTGCCCTTTCTACACATTATGATGACTTTGCTAGAATCATGATCACCATGAGTAGTTGCATATCAACCTTACAACCTCTGCCATCAAAATGCTCAGCATCAAAGGGAGGAAATAGGAGAAGCAAAGTGCTGTTTGCCTTACTTATTTTTAAAAAGTTGCCTGCTCCCGTAACCTTTCCAAATAGAGAAGACTTACTCTACACTTCTCTCTTAAAGCCAACTCTCTCCTTCACCGCCCTGGTCTGTGCCTTGACTCTTCCTCCAAGTATCCAGAGCTATTGGACCTCCTGCTTGGCCAACTGGTGTCTTACCTCCCATATCCCTGTCGTCCTGGCTTGAACCTGACTGTAGGCGAGGAATTGTGCAGATTCCTGGGTGCTCCTTGTGGCTGTGCTGTTTACTCAGTACTATGTACTGTGTACCTTCTCCCCACCCCGAGGGTGCTTTCATCTAGGTAAATATGCACAAGGCTTTGTGCAGAATTCTCTGTCCAGCTGAAAACTTTAATTAATGCCTGTCCTTACCGTGGGGGAGAGAAGACTCAAAGCACCTGAGCCGGAGAGTTGGGAAACTGACATTTTGAGTTCAGTTTTCCTGAGTCATGGCTGAACCTCAGCTAAGTCCGTTAAGTTCTCTGGACCTGCCATTTCTCCATTTTTCAAACGGATCTGCACGTTGCAGGCTGCTTTCCCGCACTCGTGTGTTGGTTTTACTCAGTGCTGTCATCGTCTCCTCTCAGTAGCCCGCTTCCTTTTTATTTTCCATTAAGGGCTTTCTTTTTCTCCTCCCCACAACCTTCTTTAACACCATGCCCCTTTATTACTTTCTCCACTGGCTTTGTCTGTCCATCTCTCTCTCTGCTCTTCTCCTTAGCCTTTCCTGCACCTCCCTTGGGTGTAAGGAAATTCTCCTCAGCTTTCCCTTTGACAACATCTTCCCTCTTTATCCCAGCATCACCCCAGCTGCAGAGAAGAGGTTCAGTAACTATGATGAGGATGGTCCTGTAAAACTTTTACTTTCCAATCTTTAATGAGCTGAAAGATTTACTCAGCTATAATTCTGAGCGTAGAAACCAAGAATAGAGCCCCCTAACTAGCGACATGTTAATTTAGACCCCTTTTCTTATGCACTAACAGGCATGAGGAAGTTCTTGGAAATAGAGATGCCCCACTATATTTTTCTGTCATTTAATTAATTTCAACTTTCAAAGTGAAATGTTGGCTCTAGCTCACTGAAAATAGATGTAGTCTAAATTATTATTTCATGTAAATTTCTTTACAAGTGCATGATTCAATGTGCATTCCTTCATTATTAGTCTCTTTAACATTATTTCAAACTGGTTTGTTCCCCTTTGTGCAGTATGACCTGCTCTTGTATTACAATAATCCCCGATGTACCCTTTTTTCTTTCTTTTTTAAAAAAGAAACTAATTGAATTATCTCATTATTTTAATTTGTTAAGCAAATGTATTTTGGATCTCAGGATGTGTTCTTAAAGAAGGGGGTTACTGAGGCTTTGCCCCCTGAATGGGCCATTGGCCCATTTTGACATTCATGCATTCATTAACTAGTAGAACATAAAAGAACTCTGGTTGTATTTTTTTTTTTCCAAACACCCAACCAGCATGGAGCAACTTTTCCCAATAAGCCACAGGGGTCTCTCTACATATGTTCTCAACTGCAAGCTATTGTCACCTATTCTGAATACCTCAAAAGGCCCAGAGAAAAAAGAACCCCACCTCAACAAAGGCCAACTGTGGCAATTGTTAACTCTTAGTCTCAATATGACAAAAATCATTAACCTTCAGTTTTCTTGGAAGAACAAGTTCCACTACAACTGTAACAGTTTTAAAACACTCTCTCAAATTCCTGTGCTCCTCCAGCTTTAGGGGAGGAGGTAATAAACTCACAGCTGATCGATGATATTGAGGAAAATATTTAAACTAAATCCAAGGTAGCCGTAATAAACCAAACTCTTTGATGAATTGAGGAATTTCCATATTGAGTTAAGCACTTTAAACTTGCTTAGTCTGAAGCTAAATAATTAGTTTCTCGTTTCTAACTACCAGTTTCCAGAATGTCCTTTAAACATCACAATGATTTTAAGGAAATAAATCCACATATTTAAATCCTCACAGTAATTTTAAGGAAATAAATCCAAGTAAATACTTTTTAGAAATTCAACCAGCGAAACGTGTCGTATGTTAGTCTTACCCCCTCTTCTATTGGTGGACGGCTCTGCCTGGCTTCTGAGACTAAGAAATCTAGTGAAGATGGAGGAAAGAATCTGTTGGAATGTATGTGCTTTTCCTGGAAAGTACCCAATGGCAAAAAATCGTAGGGAAATCCTAGGGAAGTATATTCTTTTCCCTAACACATGGAGATTATGATATCATAAAAGTAAGCCTGCCATTACAACTGTTTTTATTTGACTTCAAAGATAGTTAAAGAAAGAAACAGCAAGAAATAATACCCGGGCTGACGGTTTATTCTTAACCATGAAAAACTCCTCCACGCCAAGAAGCCCTTGTGTACTCAATTAGGCTCTCAGGCTCCTCCACTTGCCACCTTCAAGAGCTCCCCTAGTTGTGCTGCAAAGAATATATTTGATCATGGAATGAAAACAGGAAGTGCTCACACAAAGACACCACTTGCTCATACCCGTTTCTAACTACAGTTTTTCTTATTTGAAAACATAGGGATAAAGCTCACCCTTAGCAGATGTGGGACTTCTTTCAAAGCTATGTGTACAGAATCAGAAGCAAATTTATTTCAAAGTGATACAATATCCTGCAGCCTCCTGGAAACTGCAGGTTCTAAAAACTCTGCCCTTTGTTCATGGCAAAATGCTTAGCCTCTTGCCATATCTCTGCTGGGAAAGGAAGCAGAATGAAGCCTGTCTCTCAGGTGTTCGCTGGTTTCACTCCCTGCCTATTAGAGTTTGTTTCATGGGATTTTGTGAAGGTCTGTTTTGAGTAATGAAAATGTGATTTAAAGTATATTGTTTCACAGACACAGTGAGCCCAAATCACGAATAAA